TCCCTTTTCATCTCCTCATAGGTCTTATCGACCTTTTCTAGGAAATTCTTGAAAAACCTTATAAACGTGGTTTTGAACTTTATATCTAGTCTCTGCTTTTCCTCCATTTCTTTTGTTTGTGATCTATTTCCTTGTCTCGACATTTTCACAGCTTCCCTGAGTTGGTAGGGTGGCTTTGTGTGCTAAGGTGTCCTATATGGTTCAGTGAGTCAGCCTCCCAGTTACCTGAGGTAGATAGTCTTGGTGTAGCCCTTTGTGGGGTAGCCCACAAGACTTGTTGTTAAGCCTTGCGTTGTTGGTATCACTGGGAAGCGTTGATCTCCAAGCCAATTGGCTATGAGGATCAGAAGTATCTCAGCTAGGAGGGTTTCTGTATTCCGCTTGAATGGGGTGGAGTCTCGGTGTGCCACAGACAAGCTTTGTTGAATCCCGCACAGTCGGCTGCACCTCTTTGGTATAGGCGCAGACAAGCTTTAGATTCCTGTCTGCCCCTCCCTAGGAGAGTCCTATTGGCAGCGAACGAGGAAGCTGGCCACTGGAAGGGCCTCTGTGCTCTGCTTGGATGGGGCGGAGTCTCGGGTGGTGCAGACAAGCTTTATTCAGCCCCTCCCTATGAGGGTCTGGTTTCTGAGTCCCGCATCAATGGCCGCTGGCTTCACACACCTCCAAGAGATCCTGGCCCACTGCCTGACAGTCTGGCCTCTCCCTGTCTGGGGCTGTCTATCAGCGCATAGGGTGGTTCTGTTTTCCTCCTGAACAAGAAAGCCAGCCGTGCATTAGCTGTCCGCCCTCTCCGCGCAGGGAGCAAGCTGACAGCGAACTCTGTGGCTGCCTTTTCTGCCTTTTCGCGCACGCAGTTCTCCGTACTTTCACAGTTCCTGAGGTTCAGCGCGCCTTCTCTCTCCTTCCTAGATGTACAGCCTCCCATCAACCAGCTATCTGACGCCTCAGGGTGATGTTTCCCATTTTTCAGTTCCAAACTCAAACTTGTTGTGGTAGGCTGCACTCGGGTGTCTGCCCTATGCCGCCATCTTGGTTTTTCTCCTATTTCCTCTAATTTTATTTACTTATTTATTTTTAATATATTTTATTGATTTTGTACAGAGAGGAAGGGAGAGAGAGCGAGCTAGAAACATCGATGAGAGAGTGTCATCGATCAGCCGCCTCTTGCACACCCCCTACTGGGGATATGCCCGCAACCAAGGAACATGCCCTTGACCGAAATCGAACCCGGGACCTTTCAGTCCCCAAGCCGATGCTCTATCCATTGAGCCAAACCGGTCTCAGCTATTTCCTCTAAATTTAATGTGCACTAATTTCATGCTCAGGGCCACTAGTATTTGAAAAAAAAAAAAAAGAGCCAGTGGGTTTGATTAATGAGTTGGCTGTCAGATATTACAAATTAAAGATGACTCTGAGGATTCTAAATTGAGCATTTGGAAAGATGAGCTGTCATCAATTGAGATTTTAAAGCACATCCTAAATCTTTCTACTTCTCTCCACCTCTACTCCTGAGCAAGCCACCTCTTTCCCGTGCCTACAGGAGTGGCCTCCTAACTCCTCTCCCTGCTCTTATTCTCCTTGAGTCTGTCCTTCAGACAGTGTAAGTTTTACTATTTCTGTTTTAATTGACTTTAGAGGGAGAGGGAGAGAAATATCTATGTGAAAGAAACATGGATCAGTTGCCTCCCGTACACATACTGACTGGGGCCTGAACCCACAACCTGGGTATGTGCCCCGACCAGTATTTGAGCCCCTTATGACCTTCCTGTGTACTGGACGAAGCTCCTAGCCACTAAGCCACCCAGCCAGGGTCAGTAGAAGTTTTAAAATGTACACCGTTTGCTCACTCACTCAGAAGAAAACCCAAATGCTCTGTATGGCCTGGCCAGCCGGGGTTCCTGGTCTCATCCCCCAGGCTGGCCTCGTTGGTCTTCCACCAGAGACTCATTTCCACCTCAGGGCCTTTGCCTGTGTGCTTCCTCTGCTGGGAATTCATTTCCCCCCAATATTCGTGTGGTTGCTTCATTTATTTTCGGGCTTTATTCCTCTCTTCACACATTACCTCCAAACTCTGCCTTCACTCTTCTTCAGAGCACTTATTATAATACTTGAGATGATATTCCATGTCTTACTATTGGTCATCCTCAATAACTGAGTGCCGTGTGGGCCAGGGTTTTGTCTTTTTCACTGGTATACCCCCAGCTCCAAAAATGGGGCTGGCTCAGAGAAGGCACTCAAGGATTCCCTGCACGGGTGAGGCTTAAGTAAGACCATACATAAGAACTCAGCCGTGCCTAGCAGATGCCTCTCCCCCGTCCCTCCTGTCTGGCTCGGCCTTGGCCATTAGTCAGCTTTCCGCAAGCTGAATTCTGGGCCCTCTTCTTTCCACCTGACATTCTCCTCCCAGGTGACTCCAGCCACAAATCCTTCAGACAGGTCTGTCAACCATGTCTCATTATCCTCTAATCCCCCATTTGTATCCTTTATGTCATTAATCAATGTTTACTTTTGAGAAAAACAGGCCCTGGCAGCTGGAAAATAGCCTGGTGCTCATTGCTGGCCTGGGGAAACCTCACAGAGCACCAAGGGCAGACAAGGTCATTCTGCCACAGTGGTGACGACCAACGCTGGTGAGCTGCTTAAGCATGGACAAAAACCTTGTCACAGCGTGAGCCGTGACCACCAAACCATACTCAACAGCCCCCTCTCGGCTACAGCGAGTGACGGCCATTTTTAAATTTTACTCTTTTACCGTAACAGCTTTATTCACGTTTCATTCCTCCTTCCTTCCAAGAGGAGATTAAGATGTGCAATCATAGAATTGCCCTTACTTCCCCGCAGCTCCCAATCCACAAACCCCGGCTTCCCGGAAGCTTCCCCTTCCCCTAACCCGCCCCAGTCCTGTCATTCCTAACCCTCTGTAATGAATAACCTCCTTTGACAGGACGTCCCTGGTGGTCTTTGCTGGAAGGGCACTGCCAATGATTGGAAGCTGCAGGGTTTTACTCCATTTTCCACCACAAGCGGAGACGGAGCAGGGAGGATCCTGCCCCGCGGTCACCTGCTCAAACCCAATGTTCCGCTCAGCACACGGCTTTCTGGAGCAGGTACTGGCCCCGGACTCACAACCAGTGGCATGTGCTGTCAGTTGTTGGAAATCCCTGACAGCTGGTGTGCGCAGCCCTGCCTGCAGCCTGAGGCCTGCAGCAGGCATGAGCACTATGGGGCTCCACTTTGGACTGACCCGATTGTGGAGCTGAGATCTGGGGGAGTAACTCTCAGGGAACTTGTGGTGGCATGACTGCCACACATGCTATGGACTGTCTACTCTAATTTGGTTTCTGTTACAAATGAACTTGAAGCTGATATACTGAGCCATAATAGGTGCTTAATGTTTACAGAGTGAATAGTGTTAGCTGTGCTCAGGGCTTCAGTCACCACCTATACGCAGATAAAAGGTTTATGCCTCATTTTAATCTGAATACCAGACTGGATATTCAACCATCTATTTGAGATCTCCCCTTTAAAAAGGCAGTTCAAACACAACCATTTCAAGAGTGAGTGGCATCCTGCCGCTTTCAATATCTTTCTTTTAACATGGCACTTAGTCATGCAAACACAGCTACCCTGAGAAACCTCAAAACTGGTATCATGACCTTGTTCCGAGTCCTCTTCTCCACTCCACTCCACTCCACTCCCAGCCCATGCTGCCACTGCGACCTACCGGGTGACTGAACAGCTATCACCTCAGCCTCCAGCATGGACAGGTCCGCACACCAAGTCGATCTTTTTTTTTTTTTTTTTTTTAATATATTTTATTGATTTTTTACAGAGAGGAGGAGAGAGGGACAGAGAGTTAGAAATATCGATGAGAGAGAATCATCCATCAGCTGCCTCTTGCATACCCCCTACTGGGGATGTGCCTGCAACCAAGGTACATGCCCTTGACCAGAATCGAATCTGGGACCCTTCAGTCCACAGGTTGACGCTCTATCCACTGAGCCAAACCGATTTTGGCCCAAGTTGATCTTTTTCAAACACCAGTTTAATCTGTGATTCTGACCTGCCTGAAAGTCTCCTAAAGCTTCTGTCTTTTCTTGAAACTTCGCCTGGACTGCTCTCCCACCTCACCTGACTGTCCTTCCAAGCTGGCCCTAGTTATCACATACTCCCCCTTTCTTCATGTCTTTTCCCCTGCAAAATGTTCTTAAAAAATATATATTTTATTGATTTTTTACAGAGAGAAAGAGAGGGATAGAGAGTTCGAAACATCGATGAGAGAGAAACATCAACCAGCCGCCTCCTGCACACCCCCTACTGGGGATGTGCCCACAACCAAGGTACATGCCCTGACTGGAATCGAACCTGGGACTTTTCAGCCCGCAGGCTAACGCTCTATCCACTGAGCCAAACCAGTTTCGGCAAATATTTTATTAATTTCAGGTAGGAAAGGAATGGGAGAGATAGACACCAATGATGAGAATAACTGGCCAGCTGCCTCCTGCATGCCCCACACTGGGGACTGAACTCTCAACCAGGGCATGCACCCTGACCAGGAATCGAACCATGGGTGACCTCCTAGTTCATATGTCGATACTCAACCACTGAGTCACACTAGCCGGGCATGTCTTGCTTTACAGCACTATCAGCAGGTCTAACTTACACGTCGTTGTGACTTTTTGGACATGTCTCTCCCCGTGGGTTTCCAATTCATTGGTTTCTGCTCACTGCCTGGCCCAGAGGCACTCTGGACACTGGAAGCTACTGTCACTATCACTTGCAAACACCCAACCTGCAGGTAGAGCAAACGGCTAAAATTATCCGCCACCTGGCTTTGCCTTTCTCCCACAAAACCTTCCCCTTGGACTAATGTGGCTGGTCTGTCTGAGGGCCCCTCCGGCCTGGAAGGAGCCACCCACTGCAGGTGAACCAAGCGGACGCAGGTCTCAAGAACACTCTCTGCACCTCGGGATGCCACAGCACAGGGTTAAAGGGGCTTGTTCCCACTGCATTTATTATTAATATAAAAAACATTAAAAAGAAACAAAATTCACTTTCAGTTCTCCAACGGCTTTCACCCTCCCTCTTGTCCACACAACTCCTGACCATGTCCTCAGGGCCAGTTCCAGACTGTGTCTGCTCATTGCCGTTTTCACAGAAAACAACCACCAGCAGCAACGGAGGTGGGAGCGGGCGGCAAGACGTTCTGTGGAGATTCACAGAATTCACACGGAAGGCCTGGGGCCTCCCCGGGACTAGGCTAAGAACACGGCTGTGGACGAAATGGGGTAGGCCCACCAGAGGCTTAGAGCACACCTCATGGGCCCATGTCAAACCCAAAAAAGTGGCACCAGAGAATGGGGGGCCAGGGTGGCAGCCTTGCAGGAAGGTCCTAGTGCTCCCTCGTTGGGGTGGGGAGAGCCCAGAGGCACCCCAGCCTCACTCATTTGGGCAGAAACACCATAGTGCGGAGAAGCCACAGAGAGCCACGGACATCGAGACAGGCTCCGGTGTGCGTTCACCCCGCACAGTGCTCTCCAGTCCCGCCCTCGGCGGCGACACGGGATCCCAGAGCAGGAGAGCGGCCTTTCGGGAAGGGCCCGGCATCATCCAAGCTGGACCCCAGGCCAGACAGCCCGGCGCTGGGGCAGGGCTCGCACAGGGGGACTGGAAACAAGCAGCAGGAGTGGGAGGACACTGCTCCCAGCTCAGGACTGGAGGGCAGCAATGCGGCTGGTGGACAGACACATGAGAGGCGGCCCTTAGTCTGTCTCCTGCTCGGCAGTCAGTGGCGAGGTGAGAGGACCCAGGAGGCAGCCGAGGAGCCTAGATGGGGGCCTGAGGGCGAGGTTCCGGAGGCCGGATAGGCAGAAAGAGTGCCCTCGTACCCCAGTGATGAAACACAACTCTGACCCCGATCGATCGATCGATCGGGGAGGTGAGAGATGGGTGGGAGATGCATGGCTGCGAGGTGACGGGCTCCCTCTAGTGCGCAGGGAAGGCAGTCTCACAGAGGAGGTCCGTTGACGCCTGGGTGGTAGAAGGCACAGAGGTCCTCATATCGACAGTGGCCTTTTTTGGCAAAGTGTCGGCAGACTGGGCGGTCAGATTTGTCTGTGAACAAGTGAAAACGGCAATGTGAAATGTGAGTGAGGAAGCAAACACCTGTGACGGGAAGCGGAGGGCGGTCAGACTTCGCTCCCCGCCCTTTCCCGGCCGCTGGAAGGGTCGTCTTTCTCCTGGGAGGAAAACTTGAAGAGCTACTCCCGCTTCAAAAGGACACGGGGAGAGTCCTGGTCACCCTGAGAGTGATGGGGATTCAATGTATATAGGCATAAGCAAGTGACCTCACCTTCCATAACCTGGGGCTCATCCTCGAGGGGGCAGGTATTCTTGACAAGCGACCAGCTTTTGAGCCTTCTAGGATGTCTCTGTTGTTTGTGAAAGCCTTCCCTGGGGAGACTACCTTGGTCTGGCTCAGGAAAAGGAGGCTCAGCACTGACCCCCCAACCTCGACCATATGGGCGAGACCTGGGGCCTAAGCCTCCCCACACTGGGCCTCTGCCTCGGGGAGGAGGCGGGAGGCTCAGCAGCGGCGGAATCATCAGTCCCCTTGGTCCCGGGGGACCTCTGCGCAGAGCTGGACAGAGAGAGAACCACGGACAGGTGATCAGTGGCCAACTCAATCCGCAGAAAGCCTGATCTTTAAAGTCCATTACACACACACACTCTCCTCACCAATTCCAAGCGCACGACTCAATTACCACCAAAGACCAAACACTTTTGTGTTTCCACAACCCAGGTGAAGCATAGGACCCTAACATTCCAGAAGTCACCCCTCCCTCCGTGACTTCTACCCCACTATTCCACCTCCCCCCCAAGGGACTCCTGACTTCTAGCACCATAGCATAGTTTTGTCATCTTGTGTCTGGCCCCTGTGCTCAACATCACGTCTGAGAGTCGTCCAGGCTGCCTGAGCAGTTGGCTGGTTTCTGCAGTGTCCCACTGCATGCACACACACCTCTTTCGTCCATTCTATTGATGGTGGACAGGGGGGTGGGTTCCAATTTGGACTAGAACTAAAATTGCTCTATGTGCATTCTTACACATCTTTAACATGTATGCATTTCTTTGAGTATATGCCTAGCGGAGGTATTACTGGGTCCTAGAAGATATGTATGCTCAAGCTTAATAATGCCAAACTTTCTCCAAAGTGGCTGTACCAGTTCAACCCTCATCAGCAGTTCTTGACAACACCAGGTATTATCAGTCTTTTTCATTTTTGCATTTGCTGAGGTGACAAGTTTTTCATGGTAAAACATCTAACATAAAACCTGCCATTTTAGCTGGTTTTAAATGTACAGTACATCTCAGTAGTGTTATATAAATTGACGATTGTGAAACAGATCTCCACAACTTTTTTTCACCTTGCAAAACTGAAACTCTACAGCTACTAAACTGGCAACCACCTTTCTACTTTGAGTCTATAAACTTAACTGCTTCAGATAACCTTATGTCAGAGCAATAATATAGTATTTGTATTTTTGTGAGTGGCTTATTACATTTAGCATAATGGTCTCAAGATTCATCCCCGCTCGCCTCTTACAGGATTTTCACTTTTGGGGGCTGAGTAACATTCCACTGTGAGTACACCATATTTATTAGTCAGCTGTCAGAAGACATTTGGGTTGCTTCCATCTCTTGGCTGTTGTGGATGGTGCTGCTATGAACATGGGTGTGCAAATCTCTCTTCAGGATCCTGCTTTCCAGAAGTAGAATTGCTGGATCATTGGTAGCTCTATTTTTAAATTTGTTTTAAAAATATTTATCAAATTCAGAGATGAAGGGAGAGATAGAAACATCAATGATGAAAGAATCATCGATTGGCTGCCTTCTGCACCTCCCACAACTGGGGGATCAAGCTGCAACGCAGGCATGTACCTGACCAGGAATGGAATCATACCTCCTCGTTCACAGGTCAAGGCTCAACCATCGAGCCACGCCAGTGGGCATATTTTTAGTTTTTTGAGCAATCTCCATACTGTTTTCCATAGTGGCTACACCATTTTACAATCCCACGAACAGCGCTCTAACATTTCAATTTCAAAGTGGCATGTTTTTATCTTGCATTTACTTGTCAACTAATGATGGTATTGTGCACATATTCTTGGCCAATTAGATTTTGGTTTTAATGAGGTGTCTATTCAGTCTTTGCCCACTTTTCTAACAGGCTGTCCCGAAGAGTTCTTTCTATATTCTGGATATGAGCTCTTTACTGGTTACATTTATTGTAAGCATCTTCTGTTCTAAGTTTTAAATATACAGTGGTGCCTCACACAACGAACTTAATTCGTTCCAGGAGCAAGTTTGTTATGCGAAAAGTTCGTTATGTGAAACGCGTTTTCCCATAACAATACATGTTAAAAAAAATAATTCGTTCTGTAGCATAAAATATGCTAAGATGACATAAAAAAAGATAAATTTTTTGTTATTTTTATTTAGATACATCTAAAAACATAATTTTTTTTTTTAAAAAAACACACATTTTTTTAATTTTAAGACAGACTAAGTAGAGTCTACCGAATCTTGCACATCTTCATCTTCTGCTTTTTGGCCGATGGTTTCATGAAAAACCTGTCCAAAGTCGTTTGTTTTTCTCTTTTCTCCAACATCTGCCGGAAATAACGGACAAGAGTATCGGAGTAAAGATCGTTGATCCTGTTTGCTTCAGCTGAATCCGGATAGTGGGCATTGGTAAACTCCTGAACTGCTTTCCATTTGACCAGGATGTTCTTGATGTCAGCAGTTGGGATTGGTTGATTGATTGTTGCTCCTCGTTATCAGATGACGCTTCCCTTTGAGCATTCAGTAGTTCTTTATTGACTTCAGAGAGGAAGGGAGGAGAGAGAGAGAAACATCAATGATGAGAATAACTGATCGGCTGCCTCCTGCACACCCTCTACCGGGGATCAAGCCAGCAACCTAGGCATATGCCCTTGTCCAGAATCGAACCTGGGACCCTTCACTCCGCAGGCTGATGCTCCATCCACTGAGCCAAGCCGGGGAGGGCCTATTCTAATTTCTTAATGGTGTCTTTTCATTAACAAAAGTTTATATTTGCTAATGAGGTAGTTTACAGAGCTCTCCTTATGGTTAAAGTGAGTTTTCTGTGTAAACATGCTTATCTACTCTAAGACCATGAGATAGATTTATTTTCTAGGATTATTTACCTTTTACACTTAGATCGAGATTCCACTTGGAATTGATGCTTTGTATGTGATATGAACAGGTCAAATTTAATCTTCCCCAAGAATATCCAATTAATCCAGCATCATTTGCTTAAAAGACCCCTATTTCAGTTCATCTTCATCATAAAGGAAGTGTCCAAATATGCGTGGGCCGATAGGGGACCCAATGCTGTTCTGCTGACTTACACGCCTGTTCTTGCACCAACACTACAGCACAACGAGCTGCAGAGCAAGCCTTGCTGTGCAATGTGAGACCTCCCGCTTCACGATTGGCTTTGCAATCTCTACCTTGATCCTTTGCATTTCCATACAATAATGCAGATTCTTTTTTTTTTTTTAAAAAAGCTATTATAACTAGGAATGCATGGAATCTATAATATTTGAGTTTTCCTATCCGTGAATACACAAAATCTCTTCACTTAGGTACCAAATCCCGATCTTTTGATTTAAAAACCTTCCTGGGTTTTAGTCCCTCCCTTGTTCCCTTCTCCAGAACCCAATCAAAGGATTGGGGCCCCTTCCTCACCTGACTTGGGGTCACCAGGCTTTCCATTGGCCATGGGGGGAGGGCCCAGAAGGCTGGGCGGTCCTAAGAGTAGACACAAAAATATGGTCATTACAATGAACTAAGGGACTGATAATCCTGTTCTTATGTTTTGGTTGTATTACTCATTTTTTTAAAAACTATATTTTATTGATTTTTTACAGAGAGGAAGGAAGAGGGATAGAGAGCTAGAAACGTCGATGAGAGAAACGTCGACCAACTGCCTCCTGCACACCCCCTACCAGGGATGTGCCCACAACCAAGATACATGTCCTTGACCGGAATCGAACCTGGGACCTTTCAGTCCGCAGACCGACGCTCTACCGCTGAGCCAAACCGGTTTCGGCTATTACTCTTTTTTTAATCCAATCGGTAAAACCAGGTAATTGTAGCAGAGTTACGAGTTTTCACCCATCTATTTGCTCTTTCCTCTGCGAAAGTTTCCAGGATTCACAAGAAGGGGAGACTGGTTCAAGGGGACAACACGCCCAGAGCTAACCTCGCCCCCCTCCGGCTGCCGCCCGGGCGGCTCCCCCACACCCCGGGTCCAGGCAGCCCGCCCCTCCGGGCCCCTCGCGCCGCGGCGCTGGCCGCTCCCGCCGGGGGAGGGCGGAGGCCGAGGTCCGGGCAGAGCTCTCCTCAGGCTCCGCCCGCGGCCTGCGCCGGCCCGCGCCCTCCCTGCGCCCGCGGCCCCGCGCCGCCGGCCCGCTCCGCTCCTCACCCGCAGGCCGCCCGGCGCCGCCGGCCCCGGCCTCCTGGCGCTCGGGCACCTGGGGCGGCGGCTGCTGCCTCTTCCGTTTCGGCACCGTGGCGGCGGCGGGCCGGGAGCGCGTGCTTCTGCTTCCGCTTCCGGGGCGGCGGCGGCGGGGCAGAGCCGCCCGTTGAGTTTCCGGGAGCTGCGGGAGGCTTTGTGCGGTGTCTCACGTCACCCTCCCCGCGCCGCCGCCCGGAAGGCCGGCCGCCGCCCCCGGGACGCGCACCGCTCCTCCGCGGCGCGGGCTTCGGCGCCGGCCGGGGCTGTCGCACCCGAAGCTCGCCACATCCGGCCCCGGTTACTATGGTAACGCCCGAGGCACCAGCGCGTGACCTCTGACCTCCCTCCCTAGCTGGTCACCGGGTTTCCCTCCGCGCCGCGCTGAGGCCCGTGGGCCGGCCGCTCCTCACCCTCCACCGGACCGGGCCGCTGGGCTCCCGCCGCCCCCAGTGCGCCCGGCCTCCCCGGCGCGGCTGGTGCGGAGCGCGTCCCCTCCGCGCGCGAGGGGAAGCGCCGTGCGCGGGGAGCGAGCCTCCCACGCGCGCCGCCTGCCCGCCGCCGCCGCAACCCGGCGCGCGGCCGCCCACGTGCGGGGACCCCGGCCTCCGCGCCTCGCCCCCGCCAGCCCGGCTGCGGGCCCGCCGACGTCACCCGGCCCCGCCCCCGGGCCCCGGGCCGCGGCCTGGCCGCCCCGGGACGGGCGTCGGTTGAGGCGGCGGGAGCTGGGCGGAGGGCGGCCGGCCATGCCGAGGAAGAAGCCCTTCAGCGTGAAGCAGAAGAAGAAGCAGCTGCAGGACAAGCGGGAGCGGAAGCGAGGTCAGCGCGGAGCGGAGGCGGGGCGGGCGCTCTGCAAGGACGGCTGCCGGCCGCACCGCGGGGCGCGGGAGCGTGGTGGGCGCACGCCGCGCGGGAGGCTGCGGAGCGGGCGCCTTCGCCCAGCTCCCTCCCTGAGGAGGGCGGGGAAGGAGGGAGCGTGGGCGGAGGACGGGCGCCGGCCTCGGCGACCCTGGAGGAGGGCCTCCCCTGCTCCTCCGGAGGGTCCTGAGCTGGGTGGCTGGGGGATCGGGCCGCCAAAGACGAGAGGGGGGTGATGGGAGCCGGCACGACCAGGGAGGGCACCGTTTGGCCCCCGCGTCACCAGCTCCTCCCGCAGGGCTTCAAGATGGGCTTCGGTCCAGTTCCAACAGCCGCAGCGGCAGCCGCGAGCGGCGGGAGGAGCAGACCGACACTTCGGACGGCGAGTCTGTGACCCATCAGATCCGGAGGCTCAACCAGCAGCCTCCCCAGGGGCTGGGCACGCGAGGCTTTGACCCAAACCGGTGAGCGTGGGCCTTACCGCTGGGCGAGCTGGCTGCGTGGAGGCTTGAAACGAGGTGGTGGGGCTGGGGAGTCAGGCGCGCTTAGAGGGTGAGGCTGTTGCGGGAAAGAGGGACCTGGGGAAGGCCCACTCTGGGAGGAGGCAGACAGCCTTGGGAGAGCTTAGCGAAGTCGTCTGCACTGGAGTGGAGGGTTGGAATAGCTGCCATGGTTTCTGTCATAGATACCGACTGCATTTTGAACGGGACAGCCGGGAGGAGGTGGAGAAGAGAAAGAGAGCAGCCCGGGAGCAAGTGCTCCAGCCCGTCAGCGCTGAGATGCTGGAGCTGGACATCCAGGAGGTCTACCAGCCTGGTTCCGGTGCGGGGAGCCCTGCAGGCTGCTGTGGGCAGGCCTGGGCTGGGGAGCGGAAGCTGGAGCTGACTGAGGAAGGGGGTCTGGGACACACCTGGAACTCCTCACACTTGCTTGGATTTTTCTTGATTTTGCAGTACTGGACTTCCCGCGGCGCCCCCCTTGGCGCTATGAGATGTCCAAGGAGCAGCTAATGAGCCAGGAGGAACGGAGCTTCCAGGAGTATCTTGGGAAGATTCATGGGGCTTACACCTCCGAGAAGCTCAGCTACTTTGAGCACAATCTGGAGGTGTGACAGGAGCGGGGCGCAGCGACGAAGCGTGGATTGGTTAGGGGTCAGGCAGGAGAGGGACTCTCGGCTCAGATTCTTTCCCGCTGACTTTCCTTTTCAGACGTGGAGGCAGCTGTGGCGAGTGTTAGAGATGTCTGACATCGTCCTGCTCATCACGGACGTCCGGCACCCAGTGAGTCCTGCATGAGCTGGGCAAGCGTGAAGGGGGAGGAGCTCGGGGGCCGGCAGAGCAGCACTGGAGACCGGTGCCCTTCCTTTGCAGTCTCCTGCCTCGTGTCAGGGACTCAGTTCCTTATTCACCAGGCCACAGCCTGTCCCTCCTCCCTGGCCAGCTGACTCTCCTCTCCGTCATCTTTGATGAAAACCTGTATGCCCCGTTTCCCAGCCCAGCAGCTAAGCCAGTGTGGAGACCCCAGTGCCATGAGGCAGCTGGGGGGCTCCGGGCCTGCCCCTCAGTGAGCGCAGGACTCACCTGGAATGCTGGGTGGTGGCTAAGGCCCTCGCTCTGCTGGACGCCTGTGCTGCCACCTCACTGGCCCTGCAGTGGAGAGGGAGGCGGGAGGGAACTTAGGGTGGAGGTCTGTAGTGGCCTGTACACGCACTCCCACACAGGTAGGTGCACAGGCAGCACTTCCCCTGTGTTTTGTTCTGTTTCGTTTTGATTTTGTGTGTGTTTAAATATTTTATTGATTTTTTACAGAGAGGAAGGGAGAGGGATAGAGAGTTAGAAACATCGATGAGAGAGAAACACCAATCAGCTGCCTCCTGCACACCCCATACTGGGGATGTGCCCACAACCAAGGTACATGCCCTTGGAATCCAACCTGAGACCCTTCAGTCCGTAGGCCGACGCTCTATCCACTGAGCCAAACCGGTCAGGGCTAGCACTTCCCCTGTTTTGTCTTCATAGTTCGGTTTGGCTGATTTACCCTTTGTCCCAGAATCTGCTACCACCAGGGTCTTGCCTCAAGCTGTGTCTGCTGGAGGCAGAGAGCTTTGGGCTGACCTCTCATTGCCGACCCCCCCCCCCCTCCAGGTGGTGAATTTCCCGCCGGCACTGTGTGAGTATGTGACCGGAGAGCTCGGGCTGGCCCTGGTGCTGGTGCTGAACAAGGTGGACCTGGCCCCGCCGGCGCTGGTGGTGGCCTGGAAGCATTATTTCCACCAGCACTTCCCCCAGCTCCACATTGTCCTCTTCACCTCCTTCCCTCGGGACCCTCGCGTCCCGCAGGATCCCAGTGGCGGTGAGTGGCAGTGAGGAGGCAGCGGGGAAGGTGGGTGGCAGGGGACGGAGGAGAGCAGGGAAGCCTGTTGACAAGGGGACTGAGGATGGTGGCAGAGGTGGCATGTGCCAACCCTTCTCTGCCTCGATCTCAGTGCTGAAGAAGAGTCGGAGGCGGGGGAGAGGATGGGCGCGGGCCCTGGGGCCGGAGCAGCTGCTGAGAGCCTGTGAAGCCATCACTGCGGGGAAAGGTTTGTGGAGACCCTCGGCTCACCTTTCCTGAAGCCAGCCCTGTATGTGGACGGGGGCGGGGAGGGCCAGAGAGGCAGCGGTAGGCAGGAGCCCGTGCCTCCGGGGGAGGTCAGGGAGGGCCGGGCTGTGCAGCCTGTCACTGTCCAGCTCGAGGGCATGTTACCCGGCTGCGCCTCGCCGTGCCATCGTGGATGGCAGCTCTAGGGAGAGCCTCTTCGTCTTCTTCCTGAGCAGTGGACTTGAGCAGCTGGAGGGAGAAGATTGCCCGCGACGTGGCGGGGGCCGCCTGGGGCAGTGCCTCGGGGGAGGAGGAGGAAGAGGACGACGGGCCCGCGGTCCTGGTGGAGCAGCAGACTGACTCGGCGATGGAGCCAGCCGGCCCCACCCAGGAGCGCTACAAGGACGGGGTGGTGACCATCGGCTGCGTGGGTGAGGACTGGCGGCGGCAGTGGCGGTGGCGGGCACGGGTCTCCAGCGAGTATTCCCTCGCCCCGCGGCTGAGGAGCTTTGGCTTTTCAGACGATGACAGTGGTAGCCAAGTCAGAACCGATGTGAGGGGTGCGGGAGAAGTCCAGAGAGAGCCGAGCAGATGGTGGTGATAAGAGAATTGTTAAAATGTGGCATGTGTCCGGTCTTACTGCCACCATGCACTGTTCTGAGTGACTTACGTGTGGCCTGGTTCAGTTGTGGTTAACTAGTCCCTAGTAGGAGCTTAGCAAATGTCGGTTCCTTCCTGCATCTTCAGCCGCGAGTCTGTTTCCAGGGAGATTCCCTGGAGTGCAGAGGTGTGTCCGCTCCTGTGCGGACAGCAGTGTCTGAGCAGGCCCAGGCCTTTAATTCTGCTGGGAGAGGGGGAAGTGACTTTGGCAGAGTTGTGTTATTAGGACCAAAAGAACCTGGCCTACAAGTCACGTTGCCCAGTGGTTGGGTCCATGCAGTGCCCCCACCTTCCTGTTAGTCTTCGGTTTGTGCAGGGGAAGCTTCCCCACTGCTGACGGCCTGCCGCCTCCAACAGATGGCTCCTTTCCAGGCGCTGCCCTGGCACTCCCCCACCGGCCCTGTGCCCTCTCTTGGGCCTGGGCACAGACTTGCCTGTATTGGAGGGGTAGCAGGGCGAGCAGCTGCTGGGACACAAGCAGCCCTGAGTTTGGGTTCTCGTCAGCTCTGTTCATTCGTCCGCTCCTGAGCAGGAGGTGCCAAGGGCTGGTGCCGGGGTGCTGCGTGGAAATGGCAGAAAGGCCCTGCCTTCACGGAGCAGTCGCCTGAGCGGTGTCATTTAGGGACAATGAAAGGGAGAGAGTGCGGCTGAAAGAGGTGGTCCCAGGAGAGCCCAGGGTGATGGAGCGGCTGTGGAGTGGGAGGGGCCTTCCAGGCCGGGCCCTGCGGTGGGAATGAGCTTGCTGACTTGGGGCCAGCCAGGGGCTGAGCCGTGAAGCCAGGAAGGACTGGCTAAGAGAAGGCACTGGGGTTATTCCCAGAATGCTGTGCGCAGGAGCTGCCTGTGTCAACGTGCGGGCAGACCAGCAGGCCCAGAGCACCGCGAGGTGGCGTCCTGGGCTCCAGGTGCTGTCCTGAGCCACCGGTAGTGCCGAGAGTACCGAGTACCAAATACTGAGACGGGCAGGTGGGAGAGGAGCAGACTGGAGGGGCTGCAGAGGCGATTCAGACACTGATTTTGAGATTAAAAATGTATCCCTAGCGGAGATACTGAATGGGCAGTGGGTGCGTGAGCATGGAGTGTAGGGAAGAGGACGAGGTTAGCATTTGGGAGAGATTTAAGTTTGGGAGCCACGGTGGGTACGCCTGTGCTTCGAGCTGTGGGAGCAGACGGATGTGGAGGGGCCTGTCCGATGAGCCGTGTGCTGGAGAGGAAAGGAGGGCTCCCTGTGCCACATGGTGCTGAGTGAAGTGAGCGGAGAGCAGAGGCTGCTCAGTGGCCTGGCGCGTGAGCGGTGGTGAGCGGCCTGGCGCAGCCTGCTGTGAGCCAGGGCCCAGGCAGTCTCTGTTCAGGCGTCTATTTGTGCCATTCATATTTTACTGAACTGCATGGTTCAGGGGCACACGGTGTGGCACTGACAGGAAGGCGGGCAGGGAGTCCCTTACATACAGGTCTGGCTCACGCAGGGCACAGGCTGCGGTCAGGAGGGGCTGGGATCCAGGGAGCGCCATACACTGGGCCCAAAGGGTGGTGGGTTCATCTGGCACATTTATATTTTACACATTTTTGTGTATGTTACAGCTTTTCTCTTTTTTAAAAATATTTTTTTATTGATTTCAAAGAGAGGGGGAGAGAGAGAGAGAGAGAGAG